CCATCGCAAGTAGAGTGGAGGCAATTGCAAGTAGGTTGGAGGCCATCGCAAGTAGGTTAGAGGCCATTGCGACTAGTTTGTGACAACACATATTCTTTTTTGCTCGGTTAGGAAGCTAGTAGACTTAAGCTTCTCAGGCTTAAGGTCCAATGCAAACAAGAAAAAAGGCATCCTTCTTAGCTGTAAATTGGTCTTTCTCACTCTTTAGATCTTGTAGACGCTAGGAGCAAGGACGCTACTAGGGGCTCTTGGCATCGCTACTAGGAGCGAGAAGCTACTAGGGGCTCCTGGCCGTACTACTAGTAACAAGAAGCTAGTAGTAACAATAAGAAGCTATAGAATTGAATTAGAATTTTCTCACTCTTGAGATCTTGTAGACTCAGTTTTTTCGGAGTTTTAGACGATTGTTCCGAACATCCCCATCACGAGACGTTCCGTTTCGGAGTGAACTCGAAAAAGACGGTCTTCGAGCTTCGAACCGGTGAAGGCTCGCAATTGGATTGACAGGGGTCATTCCAACCTAGCGATGGCCTCCAACCTAATAGTTAGTAGGCACCCTAGTAGGGAGGTAGCCTCTGTTTCTTTTAAATAGGAAGTTGAAACAGCGGACTTGCACAACGAGTGCAGCGTAAGTGTGCAATGGAGGTGTGTCTTCTCACACAAATCCAGGACGCGTCAGCCTATTCAGAGCACCTTGTTGGAAGGCACGGACACACTACAACGGCTGTTTCTTCGGGTGCTACGCAAAAGCATCCCGAGTAGGACTATCTCGGGTTCCGTATTCGCAGCCTGCTTTACGAAACAAATGCAGCTACTTCGGGAACTACCGATTTCAGTTCATTTGGCCAAAACATGTGTCACATCTCTTGACGTGTGGTTTTCGAGACGCCTCACCAATGTTTTCAAGCACGCTGGGATTTCCAGGGAAACCCCCAAGATCTCCGGGAGACTGCCTCAGTGGCTTTGAAAGAACGGATTTCTCCCTCACTTGGAGCTTTTAAGGATCCAACACATCAAGGAAAATGAACTCAGACAAGAGTGTGTATGGGTCCTGGCGATGCATGGGGCTAGGCATTTGGCTGTGCAACCTGATAGCAATGGCCTCCAACCTACTAGCCATGGCCTCCAACCTAAGAGCGATGGCCGGGCTAGAAGAAGGGTTGCTTGAAAAATATATGAAAAATTGGGGTTGCTGAAAAAAAGTGAAAAAACACACAAAAAAAGTGAAAACTGAAAACATGTAAAAAACAAAAAGTAGGGAGGGGAGGGGAGCGGGCTAGAAAAAAGAAACTCGCAAACAGACTGATCGGTCCGATAGGCGCATGGGAGGCAAGTCATCCAATCGTTGACGACGGCCACTCGGCCCTGCACACGACCGGCACCGCCACACGGCATCACACGACCGGCATGGACGAAATAAGCGTATGCGGTATCGCTACTAGTAACAAGTGCATCGCTTCTAGTAACAAGTGCCTTACTACTAGTAACAAGAAGCTAGTAGAAACAACATATAAATTAGAATTTAAATCAAAATGAGTACTAAAGGAGGCTACTAGGACCTTTTCGCGCGCGCGCGTGGGGGGTATGCTACTGTAGTAACAAAGGGGCATCGCTACTAGGAGCAAAGACGCTAGGGGCTCCTGGCCTTACTACTAGGAGCAAGGACGCTACGAAGGTAGCTCCTGGCATTATTACTAGTAGCTCAAGAAGCTACTAGTATATAGCTAGAAGCTACTGCCTTACTAGTAGTAACAAATTAGAATTGAATTAAATTGCGTCGCATGCGGTATGTCTCGCCTGTGACACCATCTCTACGAAGATAATGGGTAAACTCCGTCCACACATCACTGACCTTAGTAGTCAGTTCATAAAGTTGCATTTTGTATCCTCTGGCGTTCTCTGGAAAATGACATACTGCAGGGCAAAACAATTAACACTATCTATATTTTTTTTTTCAAACCTTTTGTGCTGCCTTTCTTCGTTTTCTGTAAGTCGAAAGTCCTTTTACCTTTGTTCCGATCTTCCTGTTTTCGACCATGTCTGAACGACCCATTTGTCTGCATCCGCTTCGCTTCGGTGAAAAAAAAACATGCATCCCGGCGGGCAAGAAGAGTGGTGGAGGATCCGAAACGCCTCCGCAGCGATGCAGCAGGTTCTTGGATAAGTCAGAGAGTGTTACGTAGTGAGTAGGAGAGCTAAGCTAGTGTCAGTGAGTAGACATGAGTAAATAGCTAGTAAGAGGTAAGTAGGAGACCGAAGGAAGCTATTAGTTTGGAGGCCATTGCTATTAGGTTGGAGGCAATCTAGGAGACCTTGGAACTAGTAGCTGGGACGCAAAAGATCTCAGGTTTTAAGGAAGTTCCTCTCCGCGAGAGCGAAGCCTTGAAGAAACCTTGAAATGTTTTTGGTGAGACGAAGTATCCTTTCTCCTAGTAGCGTCCTTGCTCCTAGTAGCAATGCCAGGAGCCCCTAGTAGCGTCCTTGCTCCTAGTAGCAATGCCAGGAGCCCCTAGTAGCGTTCTCATTCCTAGCAGCGATGCCAGGAGCCCCTAGTAGCGTCCTTGCTCCTAGTAGCAATGCCAGGAGCCCCTAGTAGCGTCCTTGCTCCTAGTAGCAATGCCAGGAGCCCCTAGTAGCTTCTTGTTCCTAGTAGCGATGCCAGGAGCCCCTAGTAGCGTCCTTGCTCCTAGCAATCCTTTTACTTAAGAGCGGAGAAAGAACACAATTGGAGTTTCTGAGATGTTCCAGATTCATGGAACAAGTGAGACAAAAGGGATACCATAGAACATACAAACAAATAACAAAAAGAAACATGCAACCCTTGAGTCAACTTGAGCGTGCGAATGAGTCTCAAATTTCTCATTTTGTGATGCATTGTGCTTTGACGTGCTTGGTGCGGAAGAAATTTGCCAAAAGAAAAAGAAAGCCTTTACTTTCCTTCCAAACGGGTTCTCGTATTACACATATGAAAGATCATACGTATCGTATCACACAAGCATAGCACAGGGGAATCTGTTAACACAGACCACAATCGGAAGCATAAGAATGAGCACCAAAGAAATGATGAAAGGAGTTCTGCATCCAAGCTAGACATACCTCGGTTGGAGGCCATTGCTATTTAGGTTCCGTCCCTTTTCTTTTTCTTTCTGGTCCTTCTGGCAAATGCTGAGCAAAAGGAATGCAGGCCCCCTTCAAATGCACACTGAATAGATTTATCAAAAATAGTTTGCTGCTGGGTCCATTGATTTATCAAATCACTTTGTGCAACACAAGAAACTCTGATCTCACGCCCATCGGCGGCTCACTGACTGCATCAAACAACCCCCAGCTTTCACTGGCTGAGGCATGAAATCATTTCTTGTAGCGATGGCCTGCTGGTGTGGCAAAACCAACTGAGTAGTAACAAGTGCATCGCTACTAGCAACAAGTGCATTACTACTAGTAACAAGAAGCTACTAGTAGCGATGCACTTGTTACTACTCATTTGGTGCTCGATTTCGTTCTGCTTCGGCCTGCAGAGGATTTTCACCGTTGTTGGTTGTTCTAAACAAGTTTCCAAGACAGGTGGAAGTCTCGTGTAGAGCTTAGGACTCCTGTTGACAGAAAGAGCTGTAATTGAAACTGGAAGATTGGTGATCACGTTTTCCACCCTTTTGGCCATTTGGAAATGGACAATTTGTGGTTCCAATTTTCAGGATTTGGTGGTGCTCTTCTTCGTTAACTGACTGAGTACATGAAAATCTTGCACTGCTACAGGGCGGGGGAGAGGTCCAAGGAATCTAAATAAGCGGATTCTACAAGCGGAAAATGAAGTGGTTTTCTATCAAGCAGACACAAACGGTATGGCACCACATTGCCAGTGATGGGCGACCGATGGGCGACCACCGACTGGTTCTTTTTTTGTGGAGTATTTTTTGATACATAAGCAACAGATGCCCTACAACCTAGAAGCGATGGCCTCCAACGTATTAGCGATGGCCTCCAACCAGTAACTGGGCGATTTACATAGTCCATATATTAACCCTGATCCGTTCTTGGAGCAGGGAGGGGAAGAGTGGAAAAGTGTAGGAAAGGAGGGAGACCCCCTAGAAGAAGGGAAGACAAAGACCCATCATTGCTTGGGGATCTAGCGTTACGGACTTCAGTGCGTTCAAACCTGGCTACTAGCGTGGCTACTAGCGTCACATAGCCGTCGCGTTTGAGCGTTTCTACAACGGAGAGTCTCTCGCCTGCAAGGCCGACAGCATCTGCTGGTGGAAGTTCAATGTCACAACGATTGCCTTGGGCACGTCGGCCACTGCCGGGGCAAAATGTAAAGGGCACTACTACTAGGAACAAGAAGCTACTAGTAGCAAGGTGCCTTACTAGTAGTAACAAGAAGCTACTAGTAGCTTCAAACACTCCAGGTTTACCACCATGGTCATATTTTCAGGAGTCAATGTGTACCAAGAGAGATCTTGGAAGGCCTTGGGACGAAGGCCGTCCTCCAACACCATGTTTCAGGACGTACTATCCGGTCCTATAAGGCCTTTTGTTGGTATAGGAGCAAGAAGCTACTAGTTTCTTGTTACTAGTAGTAATGCCAGGAGCTACTAGTAGCGTCTTTGCTCCTAGTAGTGATGACCTTTGTTACTAATAGCTTCTCATAGCTTCTTGTTACTAGTAGCACACTATCTTAGACTCTTAGACCTTTTCTTACAGGTGAAAAATGCATTGTGTGGCCATTCCATGGGGGTCTAACCTTCACTCCTCAAAAGCCTCCAAAGCGGGTTACTTGAGTTTGCTATGAAATCCAAGCATCAAAAATAGTCAAAACACAGTGCGGGTGTGGTTGTGCTCAATCAATGGTGTATACCACTGGTGTATACCACAGATTCAGATGATGTTAGAGGAAAAATGAGGCCTTGTTCGAATCACATGTCCTGTCAGAATTGTCTACAACATGTCAACACGCCCAGTTCCAACGCAACTCATGTCCGTGAAAGGGTTCCTTGCCATTGGACATGGCAGCATGTGGTCCTTTTAGTCTGGCAGACAAAGTGCACGGGATGACCCGGCGCCGGGGCCGTAAAGCTACTTGTTACTAGTAGTAAGGCACTTGTTACTAGTAGCGATGCACTTGTTCCTAGTAGCTTCTTGTTACTACTAGTAAGGCACTTGTTACTAGAATTGTTATTGTTTGTTCTTTGCTTCTCTTTCGTTAATTAAGCTCTTGAGCTTAGAGCCTATCTTGGAATCCTTAGAGCGGAAACCTTCCCATGACATAGATGTGGATGTGTATAGGAGAGGGCATGAATATACCTGAAGCCCTTTTCTTGTCAAGTGGAAAAGGAAACTCGCGCTTTGAGTTTTGGTGGGTTATGAGCCCAAAGTAACCTACCCTGCGGTGATAGCCATGTCAGAGCCGACTTCAGAGAGGACGCCAGAGCGATCGAGGACATAAAGCCAGAGCATGGAGCGATGGTGTTGCCGAGTGGACCGCCTATGTCACTAGGTCCACCAGTCCCGGTGAATCCTTTCTGGAGTGAGACCCAAAGAGATGAGGCAATTTTGCGGGCTTGCCGACCTTCACATTTGCCCAGTGCTGAGGTGAGTCAAGCTCCGGTGGCTGCTGTAAGCCCTCCTCGGGAGGTTCCAGATGAGTTCAAAATGATGATACATGGTTTACTGCAAGAAAATTCGAGACTGTGGTCTGAGCGGGAGGCGTTTTCCAACCAGGGAGGATGGAACCAGACGCCAATGTCCGGTGGTTTCCAACAGTCGATGCTTGGAGGCCTGCTGGGTGATGCTTCAGGTCATGGTAGAAACCCCTTGAATGCCTTGTTGGAGATGTTTGCCTGGGGCCAACCTTCCTCACAGAATGACAAGGGCTTGTTGGGGGCATTGTCCAGGCCAGTTGATCGTGGAGGTGCATGGTGTTCGTCTTGGCCGGAGCAAGGGATGTTCGGGGGTCAGACGCAGGCACATCGAGGAAATCTCATGGAGCTTTTTAACCTGGTCTCTAGTGCAAGCACTTCATGGCCTATGCACTCTCGGACGGTGGACGAAGTTCACTAGCTCAGGCTGGCAGCCATGCTCCAGTAGATGTCTCTGGACGTGTTGGGGGTGTGTCGAGCTCCAGAGGTGGTTCAGGTCGTGATTCAGAGCCGTCTAGTCATGTTCACCAACGAGATGCGAATCTACCTCAAGGTGATCCTTCAGGGGGTGTTGCAGGGCAATCTGGTGGAAGTGAGTCCGGAGGTCCAGCCCAAGGCAGTCCTGGCCAATGTCAAGGTGATCCTCCTGGTCGAGGAGAAGGGGGGCAGGTGGCAGTTCAGGGAGGAGGTCTTGGAGGTGAAGCTCAGCCGTGTGGGAATGGTGCCAATGGTGGATTTTCCAACGGACCCGGTGGTTGGCCTGGTGCTGGGGGAGCTCCTGGAGGCGGTGGCTTTCCGGGTGGAAATGGAATGGGTCATTTTCCTGGAGGACTACCGGGAGGAGGATTTCCTGGAGGACCGCATGGTGGAGGACTTCATGGGGGAATGCCAGGTGGAGGTGTCCCCGCTTGGATTGGAGGTTTGATGGCACAGCAAGAATCCGTTCGAGCTGTAGACCTACCAGCGTTGCCGGAGCTTTCAGAATCCGAGGTCGGACCGCTCGTTGCTGGAGACTGGATGACGACTATAGGACCCTTCCTTCGAGATATGAGTAGCTTTGTATAGGGTGTGGTTGGGTTCTGAACCAATGGAAAGGTTGAGATTGACCCCGGTGACACCTCCTGCGTTTCAGGCTCCACCATGGTTGAGGATTGAACAACGGGGGTCGGTTGCGTTGCTCAAGGCCCTTCCAGAGTCGTTGAGGTCTGAACTGGTGGCACAACGTGAAGTGAGTTCTATTGGCATCATGTTCAAGATCTTGGGTGTATCAACCTGGGGGTTTGGGCGAGCGCACTTCGTTGTTGAAGCAGTTGGTTGACCAAAAGGTTCCTTCACATCTTAGCGAGTGGATGGTGTCGCTCAGATCCTGGAGGAGGTGGCTCACGCGTGTGCAGGAGTTGGGAATTCAACCACCAGATCCTGTTCTCCTACTGTCCACGCTCGACCGGTTCGCAGCTGGTTTGGGAAAGCATTCACCACAAGTCGCTTTCCGCTTGCAGGTGACGAGGGCTGCTTTGAGGGTGGACACCGCTCCGACTGAGCAGAGCATTCAGCAGTTCTCGGAATCTCTTCTGGCTGAAGGGGAAGCTGTTTTTCATGGAGGATCATGGCTACCCTTGCAGGAGAACATCAAGGTTCGAGCTTTGGACGTGGAGCCGTCAGCTGCTAAGGAGGATCCTCCGAAGAAAGAAGTTCGTGACAAGCCTAAAGATCCCAGTGACCGCAAGGAGTCCCGTGATGGAAGGGAGAACAAGGGAGGCAAGACCGAGGCCAAGAATGTCAAGGGTGATCAGAAGCAGCTTGGGGAAAAGCCGGTTTGCAGATACTTCATTTCCGAGTCGGGCTGCAAGAAGGGTCAGAAGTGCTCGTTCCCACACGAGTGGAAAGGTGTGTCCAAGCATGGCAGATGTTGGAACTGCGGGTCTTCGCAGCACATGAAGTCAGAGTGCCCAGTCAAGGATGCACCACGTGTGAAAAAGGAGAGCAGTGAGGATCCCAAGATCAAGGACATCGCTGGGAAGACGGGGGAGAGTGGGACTTCATCTTCGGCGACGGCAGGGGTGTTTCTTCCACCTTCTGAATTGGATGCCCAGCCAGCAGAGGCGTTGGTCAAGGAGGCCGTGCAGTTGCTCAAGTCACTTCGACCTTCTGTGAAAGCGGTTTCGGTGTGCTCGGTGAACAAAGGGAAGGGGTACACTCGGGCCCTTTTGGACGGTGGAGCGACACACATTTTGCGGCCGGCCAAGAACAAAGCGGAGTTCGACCGGGCCGTTCCTATTCAGGTTGAACTTGCAGCGGGGGTTGCCACTTTGCGTCAGGTGAGAACCACTGGAACCCTGGTGACCGATTTTGACACGCAGTTGATCGTGCCACTTGGGAAGGTGGTGAGGCTTGGCTACAAGGTCTCATGGGAGGGAGAAGTCTTTGAGATGGTGGATCCTTCTGGGGCCAAGATTGAGGTTGTGTTGGAGGCTGGTTGTCCAACGGTCGATTTGGCGGTGGCTCATCGCTTGATTCAGGAGCTTGAAGAACAGGAGTTGGAGGTGGACAGACGGGTGGCTGCGTTGAAGGCGGACCTTTCTCCCAACATCTGGCGGTGGCTGTCTGATCTTCGGACTATGTGGCCTGAAGTTCCGGATGATCTTTTGGCTCGTGTGGTGCCGTCGGGGCGATGGACTGGGGAGCAGGTGCCCATCAACAGACATCAGAGGAAGCGCCTTTTTTCCAGTGACTCCGTCATTGTGCATTTGTTCTCTGCGGATCAAGCGTGGTGGAAGAAGAGGCTGGAAACTTCTTTTAGAGCTGTCCTTTGCATTGACAAGATGGTGGATCCAGCTCAAGATTTGCTATCCGACCAACTGGCGAGATTTCTGGCTGAGCTGTGTGAGAAAGGCACGGTGGATGCCATTTTGGGTGGCCCTCCTTGCCGGACTGTGTCGAAGCTTCGATTTCGTCAACCTGGTCCACCTCCTTTGCAATCAAGAGGAGGTCCACAGCGCTTTGCCTTGGAGAATTTGTCGGACGCCCAGAGAGAGCTAGCTTTCAATGATGCAGTCTTATGGATGAGACAGCTCTGGCTTTACTCCTTGGCGGCAGCAGCAAGATCTCGTCAGGTGCTGTTCTTGAAGGAGCAGCCAAGGGATCCACAAGAGTACAAGGGGTCTGGAGACCCGATTGATTACCCTTCCTTCTTTGCCTGGCCTGAGTGGAAGTCCTTCGTGGAGAAGTATGTGATCCGGGAAGTCCGTTTGGACCTTGGAGCCCTGGGGCATGAGAGGCGGAAGCCGACTACGTTGGGAACGAACATCAGGCATTTGCATCGCCTAGAGGGTCTGTCTGATCGTCGTCGAGACCAAGATCTACCGGCAGTGTCTGGCAGCCTTGGGGAGAAGATGTCAGCTAGCAGATCGTGGGCAGCTTGGCCTGAAGCGTTCAAGACTGAGGTCATCAAGGGCATCCTCATCGAACTGGAGCAGGTCAGAGCTAAGGAGCGTGAGGAAGGGGACCAAATGATGGCCAAACTATCTTCAGAGCAGTGGAAGCAGCACGTTTTGAACGACCATCTGCCCTTCTCGCGCTACTTGTCTTCAGGGAAGCGGAAGAAGCCGTCACACATCGCAAAGTACCACATCCCGATTCGTGTA